GCTTATGAAAGATGTCTAGCAGCCATGGAGAGTACAGAGAGTTAAACCGAGCATTTTTATTCCATGCACGTTTTCATTGTTCAAAGTCCTTTGGCCTTTCTTTTTCATTTATCTCATTAAACTAATTTGAACTTTATTTCATCTCAAAAACTATTTGTAGGCTAAGCAAAACAGCGTCGCAAAAAATTGTTTGATCAAGAATCAGAAGTTTATATTTATTCTTGGATATGAAAAGCTATCCATCGTTTCTCTATTTTCGCTTGCTCCTATAAATTTCTCGTTATCATTTCACTTCGAAATATTTTATGTAACTTAATTTTTGGATTTGGAAGCTTATCAAACTAATCGGACAGGCTGTTGAATTTGGTCTTTGAATTTGGTAGAATGTCAACAAACTACTGTTTCAAATATTTTTATCAATAAAGAAATATCATTTTAATGGTTCATTTGAAAATGAACTAGAAGAGAAATTACTTGCACGTTATACAGTAGTATTTTTTCCGATTCAAAGTAATATTTTTGCTCTTTGATAACAGAAACCAGGTTAGTGCCGATCTTTAAGCGAAGGATATTAACACGCAAAGTTATTTATAGATTATTTCAGTTGAACGTGGGAACTTTTCAAAAATGCTCACGCATGCGCACTCCGAGATTGTCTAGGCGTCTCCCGGTCGTTCGTCTCGGATACGTCACCGAAATGCATTGACCGAGAGGGCTTGGAAAGACGCCGTATAGAGACTAGGCAAGGCTTGCCTAATTCCACATCCCTTGTCTTGGATGGCAGTGATGATAGAGGCCTGGGTGCTTGATTCGTTCAACCTCAAGTGACATCATCAAGACGCGATCGATTAGATCCCAGTCTTCTCCGCCCCATTTGTATTGGTAGTCTTGAGTGTTCATTCCTGTTTGGGCAAAGATACGTTTTTCAAACAAATAGATCAGAGACAAACTGAAGCAACTTTTAAAATAACTGGTAACTAAAGGGCTCTTTTTTCTCGTTCGTAATTTAATCCAATTACTAGTAATACGTTTAAAATCGTACATGCATATCATTGCGGAGTAATGATAGATCTTCGGCCTCGTCTCATTCACCCTTACACGTTAATTAAAAGGAGCATAAAAAAGCTCATGACATTTTTCAATCGCTGGGGAAATATAGAGCGTTTTCACTCACGTGGCCAGCATCTATGCTAATTCATTGGAACAAAAGAAAGTTTTTACATAAGAAAAGAGTTCAATTCCGACAGGGTTGTCTTAGTACACCAACATGGCCGCCGTTTCATTGCTTTGGAACACCAATATGGCGGCCGTGACGTCATGTGAAAACGCTCTTTACATCGGTGTCCTAGTAGTTTATCTTATATGTGCCTTCATTGGTCTGGGTGGTTAGGGTTAGGATTAGGGTTAGGGATGAGTTCATACATACACTTAAGCGGTAATGCTGGTATCCAATCTTTGGTTTTCGCAATTCAGCCACCGGTTAAATGTAAAAAAACTGGCACCAGGACACGTTTTCCGTTCGTGGCTTCTGCTTCTAATTCTAACTAGAACTTTAAACTTTCGTTAAGATACCACACTGGATCTTCCCTTGCACCCTTCAGACGAGTCACGTTTAAGACTCCCTCCTGGTCTTTTCCAAACCATTGAAGCAGACCAAATAACTTAAGCTGCAGTTTTTAGTTTCACATATTGCATACCTCCTAATTTTGTCCAGTCTGACTTGTACATCGCCATAAGACCAAACCCGTTCATTTGCCAAAACCCTCGATGTTCCTTTGAATCACTGTTACAATTAAGGCGACCAACTATAGGAAAATACACCATTCTACCAGCTATGGTGTTCTGTAAAATGATATATACATCACTGCTTCAGAATGAATGTTTAGTGCGATTGTATGCCCAGGAAAGTTTAGGTTTCCCTGTTCAGACTTGAGACAACTCACGTCATTACAGCCTGAGAAAACACACGACATTTGGCGACGCTACCACTGGTTTCTCCGCCATATGACGTCTGAGAAACGAGTGCAGAAATTCCATACTGATGACGCGTCACTACCCAGATCTGGGTAGTGCTTCTGATTGGTCTTGCCGCGTCGGAAATTTGATTCAACCAATCAGAGGCACTACCCAGATCTGGGTAGTGACGCGTCATCAGTATGGAATTTCTGCGCTGGTTTCTCAGACGTTATTTGGCGGGGAAACTAGTGGTAGCGTCACTAAATATCGACTGTTTTCTCAGGCTAACGTCATAAACAAGTAAAAGATATCCACAATAGAGTACTAAGTGATGACGTCATAAAAATGAAATTTCTGAAATTATGGGATTTGTCAGGTTACTCTGATAGAACAATGTCCAAGAGGCCTACTTACCAAAAATGAGCATTTCGGGGCAAATTGTCTCTGAGATGTTAGCCGGTTATACTCAGAAAACTCCATACAAACCCTTCTAATTTTTTTGTGGTCGACCCAAAAAAATTTAGAGGGGTTTGTATGGAGTTCAAGCATAACCGGGTTACAATCTCAAAGACAATTTTTAAAAAGTAGACTAAATGTCATCAAAAAACGTTCAAAATATTGTTTAGTCCTTAAACTCAGCTTTGATTTTGTCATTCACTTTTGTAACCGGGTGGGTTACAATTTGAACCTAAGATTAGTACCTGTTTAATAGGTCTTCTAGCAATAGTGGCCATTCCCAAATGCAAGCAATCAACTTGCATCTTTCTATTCATGTAATTTTATTCCCAAACGTACACTTTGAGACACTTACTTTTCGAATACTATCCATAATATTGACGGGTACATCAATGTGCAGGTCGAACAAGAAGACTATGTCATGCGCATTGGGTACGACTTCAACAGCCTTGTTCAAAGCTAGTGTCTTATAAAATTTTCCAGTTCGTAATTGGACAACAGTATGCCTCCTATTGAGAAGTGATGTGTTGAATGCTTCTTTCATATCAATATCTTTGCTTTCAAAATCAGCGATAATGACGTGAAAATTAGTATCACCGGTCAATACACTTGCAGAAGTGACCTGTTTGATGAAATGATGTATCCATTTTCCTTGCTCCTTGACAGGAATGATAAAATAAATTGTGGCGTTGTTATTCCAAATCATTCCCTCAGGAAGACACAGGCTACCACTTTCTTTCTTCTGGTAAACGTGTTCTGTCAACCTAAATGTTTGATCGGTGCAATTTAAAGCGACTTCAAGATCCAGCAAGAAGCGATCACCATTCGCGGCGTCCGGTTTTTGAATCACATTATTGATATTCTTCAAGTCAATGTCGCTGAAAAAAGAACAAATGAAAATACAGCAGCACATAACTGGTTTTACACAGGCAAACATCAGGGTGGGGCAGGGCAGAGCATTTGGTCGAGTTTTGACTGTTCTTAGTCAAGCGATCTAGAGTTAGGTAGCAGCTCACATAACCCTAAAAGCCAATTGGTTCGCTAACCTAACCGTGAAACAATAGGAAATAATGATAAAAAAAATGATGTGTTTTTGTTTTCTGGTGACCAAAGAGGAAACACCTTACGAGCAGCTCCCACATTACTGGATCTTGCAAGTAGCTCTGGTACTGCAATGGTTCTAAGGGGGTGTATAAAGGATGAATAGCACCATCCTTTGAAGGAAGGTTTAAAAACCTAGCAGCTTGTATGGGGGATTCGAACTTGATAGTCAATGGTAAATATACCGTAAAATTCCAAAAATAAGCCCCTCTTTTTCAAAGACCCTTTTTGAGGGGCTTATTTTTGGAGGGACCTGTATTCGGAGGGGCTTACCATGGAGGGAAATTTGCGTTTCGAAATCGATTGGGCTAGCCCTTGGAAGTAACTTTACCGTTCTTGCTTTGTTTTACTTTGTATTTGAGCTTTGGGGCTTATTTTCGGAATTTTACGGTATCTCGACAAAGAAGGTATCAACTTATTGCGAGTGTCGATTGTCATGTTTCAAATAACTCTTAACAATTTCGCAGTGCTAACGCTTCCTCAGTTAGCAAACATTTGGAGCAGCTATGTATATAAAGCAGCTGGGGTTGTTCGTATACAATCCATTTCGACATCATGCGTAAGTTTCTACTTGAAAGAAAAAACACATACACACTAATTACCCCTGAATATTAGTTAAATTTTTAAGAAAGTAACGCCACTTACTTCCGCCGTAAAATGTTCGTAAACTCGTTTACAATGCACTCAACTCTGTTCTTGTTTATTACAGGATTGGGTGATGCCCATTTGTTAACTTGTTCTTTGCTAGACATATCGGTATCGTCTAGCGGAAACACAAGGGATTCCTTTGTCAGCCACACTCCCTGGTAACGTTTGAGCTTTCTGCGCACCAAGAAACTGGGATTGTAAGGGCAAGTTGGAAATAAAGTCATGTACTCCATTCTGTTCATCAGTGGCAGACGAAGAAATCGTTCCTGCAAATTGCTTTCAGTGCCGCTGTTGCACCGGCGGGGACTTCGTTCTAAACTATTGGTGCCATAAAAAGGAGATAAATACTTGGATAAAATAATTCTAAAGTTCGAGTTTTTTGAAGCGGAAGTGTTCAGCCAATGAACCGTGACAAAGTTTTCATCAGAACTTTGCCTGTTCACTGCAAGTGACTCCATGTAATATTTCTTGCCAGCACAAAGCGAGATTTCACTAGATATTTGGCCATGGTATTTATTATACTCTTCTTTTAAGGTGGAAGCCCACTCATCAGGCGAGTAGACACGTGCGATCATTTGGCGGCAGGCGGGGTGCTCATTCGGACTCAACCAAAGCTCAGATGGGCCACTTGATGTGATAGCAAACGTGTACTTGCCATCAACTTCCGGATGGATCAAACCAAAAATTCTTAGTGCTTTATTCGTTGAATCGTTGACTGTTCTGCTATGAAAGTCCGTTATGAAAGAACGCTTGTTCGGAACGTTTGGAAAATGGGGCCAGTTTCGCAACGTGTCCATGGCCGTTTCAGATATATCCCACCAAACATGTTCGTTCATCATTCCGTGGTTGGTGTGGACTGTAGGAAAATTTTGTACAGAAAACGAAGTTCCTCCTTCTGTTTCTTCGTACTTCAAAATATTATTAGGAAATGACTTGGAGGAAAAGTTGAGTGTTTCAGAAAGCGTGTATCGTATGTAAAGAAATATGAAAGACAGACTTCCTAACAGCGTAATTATGGCGAAGTACCGCTTGAGATACCTTTTTCGAAAAAGTACCGAAAACCTCGGCCAAGAAGCCATATGTCCTGAGATGGGTTTAAAAAGGAGCAGAAGTTACTGTGGCGTTTGACTAACTTACAGGCTTGAGCCCGAATACGATCACTATGCTTCACAACTCAACATAACAAAATCCCTTCTACGATCTAAAAAAAAAAACAAACAGCAGAAAAAAAAATTGCGGCGTTCTGTTTGCTGAGGAAGTTTGCGTGCGTAATTCCGAGGTGGTCATTATACTAAAAGACATATTTCGACAGCTCAATTGTCACATCGTGAAATACAGCGTTAAATTTATAATATTAAAGTATACATAGGCAGGAGCCCATCAAATTTGATGGGCTCCTGACATAGGAGACGAGCAGTCGTATATGGAATATCTGTAAGAACTATACCGTCCTGTCTGAGGCAGACTAGATACCTTTTTCGAAAAAGTACCAAAAACCGCGGCCAAGGAGCCATATGTCCTAAGATGAGTAGGAGCAGAAGTTACTGTGGCGTTTGACTAACTTACAGTCTTTAGCCCGAATACGAACATTATGCTTCACAACTCAACATAAAGCACATTCCCTTCTACGATCTAAAAAAAACAAACAGCAGAAAAAAAAATTGCGGCGTTCTGTTTGCTAAGGAAGTTTGCATATAAATGCGTAATTCCGAGGTGGTTATTATACTAAAAGACATATTTCGACAGCTCAATTGTCACATCGTGAAATACTGCGTTAAATTTATAATAAGTATACATAGGCAGGAGCCCATCAAATTTGATGGGCTCCTGACATAGGAGAAAAAACTATAACAAAATTTTAAAGAAACGTTTGTTATAACTATGTATTACTATTAAGAAAGGTTTGAATTTTATGGTGTCACTGTTGGTTTAATTGTTCCCACTGAATATAAATAGCTTATTCTTTCTTGAGTTGAAAATCGGAATACAGAAGCATGATCCTCAAATTATTAAAACAATTAGGATAACATAAACTAAACATAAACTATGGCATTTTAAGACTCCTGCAGGTGTTAAAACGCGTGAAGCTGCGTTTGTGGTTAGCTAACAATAAATCTCTTTAATAGAGGAAACAGCAAACAACAACGACAACAAGTCCCGATGTTTGGCAAGGTCTCCCGGGTAACTTTATAAAATCATTACCAGAGGTAAAAGTGGGCGAGCCTTTCGATTAATGTAGTGTTTGACAGTTTCTTGGCGCCCTCTTAATTGTAGTTGCCATGTTTGTTTAGGAAAATTTTCTCGCAAAAGTGATCATGAATTATAAAGGTTCAGAAAGCTTGCTCCTATGGCCTTTGCCTGATGTACTAACTAAAAAGGTACTGGAGAGAGCCCTGGCCAAGGAGCGAGCTTAGATGAATCGTAATGATATGGAAAAAGAGAAAATTGAAAAAACTCATCAACATTAGTGAAACATAATCCAAACTTACTCGGCAAGGCCCAGTTAGATTGCATACCTAATGTAAACCAATGGCCAGCTTGGTTAATTTTACTCACAGTAAAAATTGATGACAATACTTGCGGGTGAAATTAATAAAGTTTTATTTCCTCGCTAGTGAGCCCCAAGAATGTACGCAGGTGTACGTAATATTCTTTGGAAATGGATTGAAAGGGAGCCTGATGCTTTATTGAGATCGCGTGAAAATCAAAGAAAATACCGTAAACTTCCGCTTGTAAGCTTACGAGCTTCTAACGCCTCATAACCCCCACTTCAGTTATTATATTGGCCCATCTACCTGTAAACAAAAAATGCATTCGGTAATAAGCCCCTCCACGAAAATAAGCCCCGCTGTTTAAGTGCCCTCCTAAAACCCCCTACAAAGTTGTATAAACCCAGAGCCTACAGGCGGAAGTTTACGATATGGTATCGAAGGAGTGCTATTTGTTTTGCTCGAACTAAATACAGTCAGTGTTTATAACGGTTATGAGAAACCAGGCAAACTTACATCTCATAAGTAGGAGGAGCATGATCGTCCGGATGATCGTAGCCCCGAATAAGACTGTTGTTGACAGTGACTGATGTTTCGAGGAAAATACCGTGAACTTCCGCCTACAAGCCCCTTACTTAAAAAGTCCCCCCGCTATTAGCTCATCTACCTGTAAACAAATAAACATATCCCGTTAAAAGCCCCCTGGATATAAGCCCCCCAGCTTTTTTTGAAATGAATTCGATTTTTTACGAAGTTTTGAAGCTTCAAAAATTGAGTAAATTAAAAAAGATCTTGGTCGTAATAACCATGTGGTCATATTAAAGGGTCTTCAAAATGATAAAGTGACTGAAGGCCCGGTTCAGACGCCGCTCCACTCATGTGCCGAACCGAACTGATGAAATAAGTCCGGCAAAAGAGCGGCGTTTGAATCAGTTTGGTACGGCAGTTTTAATTAGGTGCGGCAGAAACGCCAAGCTCGACAGAGTCTGTCGCATTATTCGACATTGGATCGGCTGGTGATTCATACGGCGCTCTTCTCAAGTGCCGAACCTAATGCATACATTATGCATACATTATATTTATAATTTTTCCCACAATGCCGCTCGTTTTTACTCAGTTGCCATGCGCGGAACACTAAATTGAGAAAAATTAAGAGAAAAATGGCGGGTAAAGAAGAACAATCTTGCTCCTCTCGCTTTAAGAGTACAAAATATACGGTGTCAGGAATACTTCTGTACGCCTTGCTCTGTCTTCGAGAATGATGAAACTGTTAAAGGCTGGAAAGCGGGCAGTTCAGTCGCATATTGTGAGCCATGTTTCCGAGAAGTAGTGGAAGAGCACGCAGAAAAGGTCGAATATAATAATTCAAATGAATCCGGCAAAAAAAGGTCTACAGAAGCAAGAAGGTCTTCGACAAAGAGAAAATCAATTACGGCGCTGAAATATGGTATCGGACCCAGGCTTTTCTCTTCCTCCGCACATGAAATAAAGGTTAGGATCGACACACGGTACACCGTCTGAATCTAATTTGTGGGTATACCACTGCGAATAAAATAAATAAAAGAAGAGATAAAAATAAATGAGACAATGAAAATTACCGTCAATTTGCTATTAAAGCCCCCCGAGGGGCGTTTGTAGTTCAAACACATTTGAGGGGAGGCGGGGTTAAAAAAGATGGGGGGCTGATTTAATTTAGCAAAGACGATGGTATCAGTTCTCCATAAAGAACTAGAATACAAAGTGAAAAAGCTTAAATACAAGACGTTACAGCCGAGGAGCAAAAACAACTTTCAGTTCCAGTTGGTGAATACAGTAAACAATCCTGGATCAGTTCCAAATGAAGTTTTACAGTAGTCATTAATTAATACAGTCTATCGTTTATATTAGTAAAGGGTAATTAGGGAAGGGGAGGGGAGGAGCTTAATAGAATATTACTTGGAGTAGTTCTGATCAGTTCTATTCCATAAACAAGGTGGTGGCAAAATGGGTGTGTCAATTGGTTATCCTTCAGGTTTACACGAGTAAAGGGAGCCAAAATGAATGAATGAATGAATGAATGAATGAAGAGTCGTGGATGAGAGGACAACAGACGTGCCCTCTTACAATACATATTTTAAACATGTGAACAGTAAGCTCGGACGTCAGCATACAAAGGCGCCACTGGCAGCCCCTCTCAGTCCATTTATGATCTTACTGTATCCACCCAACCCGTGATGTGAATGATGTGGTGAGTGAAGGTTGACCACAACACCGGGGTCTACGTCCCCTACTCTTTTCGAACAGTGGTGTGGGTTCTTTTACGTCCCACAAGAACCAGATAAGTGTTAGTGCTGTGAGACGGGACCTACTGTTTTTCATCCTTATCCGAGAAGACTAGACAGTCTAACCTTTTGCAGATGTCATTACTAAGGCAGCACTTTCTTCTCAGTTATTTAAAGACCTTGAGTCTTGGTCCAGCCGGGGCTCGAGCCGGTGACCTCCCGCTCAGCAGACCGGCGCTCTCCCAACTGAGCTAACCAGGGACAACAACTGAGCTGAGCTATTGGGACAAGACGTTCCCGTGCTCAAGATAAGTAAGGTATTTCATTGCTACCTCTTCTACGCACCTCAGTTTTTATCTATGCTCATTTTAACTGCGTTACTTCTCGCCGAGGCGAGGTTGCAACACACTTTGCAAGATATCCGTGCTTTGTGAAAGTGCTCCATCGCGACCATCTTACGGAAATCAATAGACTGTCAAAACTCGGCGGGATTTAACGTCAACTGTTCGGAGAGAAATCAACCAAGTTTACAAAATACGTTTCTTTGTCCAGTTCACTATCATTCATTTAAAAAATTTTCTAGTAATGTAAGACCAACTCTATTTACTTTCAATCTGCTATAACTTGCTCTATAATTATGTTTTACCCATTTTTTATATCTTTAAGCTGTTGCAACTTGTACTGCATTTTCTTCCTTTCCTCCTATCCGATAATAAATGTATTTTAAATAGGCTTACTTCTAAGGGTCCTCTCCTACTCGACTCCCTCAAGAAGGACTCTGGGAACGAGGTTGACGAACACAGTGTTGAGGCATTTTGGCCAGAAATCAAATTCTATGCTTTTGTAACAAGAGTGCTAATAAAAAATGTATAATTGGATGAGACAGACAAAGCAAGGGGCACGCATATCAATTCACGGCTAAAACCCACGGCCTGGCCAGTACTTCAAGCATGCGCACAGCCATATCACCGAGGCAGTAGCAGCCATGGACAGCTGTTGGGATTTCCGCGCATGACTACCCTCCGAAGTCTATCTGTAATCACACAATAGACTTTTAAGTTGAGATACTTTCATTTACTATCCATTACG